CATACTCGAGATAAACAAATCACTTGTATGATTACAGACCGAATTGGACTCCACTCGGTCCAATTACCATCATTAATTTTGTCTAAAACTTAGATAATCCCACTAAACATCTCCGGAGCTTAATTTACCAATTGGCGCTGAATAGAGATCACAACGACAACATAATCAGTGGAAATTTTTATTGACCGGTTATTCGCAAGCGGAGCTGGTGCTTCAACAAGGTGGTAAGTTATTCTGGTCTCGTTTTCCATCTTTTGCTTGGTTCTCACTCGCATCCTCCATGGAAGTTGCTGTAGAGAAAAGCATATTTCGAAGCTATTGAATGAAGTTTTTTTGAATACACCGTAATCATGGTCGAGGTATATGTAGTGCTGATAACATTTACCAAGACTTGGGATATTGAAAATGATCTGGGTATTGCAGTTATTACAAAACCCAAAAGCCATATCTGCTGTTTTATAGGAAACACTTTGAGGAATAGGTCGCATGATTTTAACTTAAAGAGAATTTTGAGCACGACAAAACCTTTTCACCTAGTGGTAGCAAGTTACAATGTTGCCGGACGAGAAAAATCACAAAGAAAAATTTATTTTAGCTCCAGATTTTATGAGGCCATGAATCTTTATACAGATGGTCTTCATACGTCGAACGGACATGGGAACTTATGTCCTCACCGTAGTGCAAGGAGGGGGAGTTGTTGAAACTCACCCTCCCCTCCCCCTCTAGTACTATCGTTGTGTTGATATGTTTTGAAAATTTGTTACCCCAAATAGATAGCCTGTTATGTCATCTACAAGGTGATGTTAATATTTGCAAATTATGCTTCTGGGGGTCAGTGGGGCTTTTTTTACATTTTTCACTTCTTCCACGATAATTTTAAGCATTTTAGAAGAACAAAAGCTATCCAACTCCACAGGAAAATAGAAAGTAAGACTTAGAAATAAAGAGTTGGTTTATTGTACTTCCCTTTTCAACTTCAAAGTATCAATTCTTTCATAGTTCATATCACTTCAATTGAAACTTACAACTCCTATATCTATTAGGCGATTTTCACCAAGTTCCCACTGCCAAACATGTCTCCATGATAAACGGACAGCTTCTGGGGTGGACAGTTACCAAGATAAATCCACCCCCCTCCCTTTGTCCGGCCGAGGGTTTTCATTTCATTTCGTGAGATGACACTTACCATCTTTTGGGTGAGCAGCAAGCGTCGTGAGTTTGTCCGAATCGCCCATAGCAAGGATTACAGCCAG